ATTTGGACTCTCAGATGAATTTGCTCTTGTCTCAATAAAGTACTGTATTTGCTATGAAAGAATCAAAACAAGGCCATGAATGAAAGAAACCCTGATCCTACTGAAACCAGAGACAAAACTCTCATTGAGAGCCAGGATTTCATCTCACATGCCTAGAATTTTTCAGAGGCATTCAAGAGTATTGCAAAGCCTCCATAAGATTTCCACATAAAAGAAGCTCCAAAGTAATGTGTATTCCTCTGCTTACAGACCTTCCTATAAGGAATCTCCCCACCTTCAGAGTGAATTTGGGCCTTGATTTTCACAGGTTCCTGCTTTCCTTTCCTTTCCTGAGGCAGGTATCTGAAATAAAATGCTCTCTGTGTGGTAACTATTTCCAAGGTTTTGTGGATGCAGCTGAAAGTTCTGCTGTGGAAAACAGCTGTGCTTTGACTGTTTCATGACTTTCAGTTTTGTGCTGGAAATATAAGCTACATATCTGAACAAGATGATTAATTATGCTTTGACAAAACCTGAATAGGACCTACGGTTTCAGGTTCTGTTGAGCTCTTTTTCCTATGTCTATTCAGAAGTAGAGTAATTGAACTGCAAGTTGACAGAAGGTTCAGTGTTGGTTGCAAGTTGACAGAAGGCTCCGTGTCTTTGCATATTGGTTTTTTGGCCTGATTCTGTGAACTTCACTTGTGAATCACACAGTGAGCCCGGTGGTGAACACTTCAGAAGGCAGCAGGAACCTGCATTTCACTGTGCTGTGTGTGGGCAAGCAATTATATTCCTGACTGCTAGGGAACCCGCTTAACAAATTGAGCTATAGAAAATGGGAACTACCTGATGGAGCAACCAGAATGAAAGGAAAAACGCCTCTGAATTTCACTTCTGAGTCTACTGTGCTCAAGTGATTGATTTTTATGTTAAATTTACTCCATTATCTCTTCACATCCCCACCCACCTACACACACACACGTTCATCTTCATGCCAGGGGTGTGAGAGCTGGCTTTTCCTACAGTGTTGGCGAGCTGGAGTGCTCTTGTTGCTTTGTGGAGTTAACACTAGTTATGGTATATGTGAGGTAGTGACAGAGACTTTCCTGTGCAGACACAGCAAGGAGCTCAAATTCAGAGCACACATAGCCCCTACTTTTGTGTAAAGCTGCAAGCAGGATGGCCAGGAGGCCCTGGGAGACAGGTACAGGCAGGCTTGCAGCTCTGCTTTGCTGTGTGCAAGGTTAGTAAAGAGCTTTTTTTTCTCCCTTCTGGTGTCTTTTAGACTGCCAGATGACCATTCAAATAAAGAGGAACTTTTGTGTAAAACTCTTCCTCTGCTCTCACCTTCATATATAAAGAAGTGTGCTGAGTTCAAGGTTTTGGGTCCTCTAACAGGGCATAGGAAACCTGTAGCTGAAAGGAGGCTTGTAGTTTCTTTTTTATGTTTTATAGCCTTCCTGTACTTATTCCCCCACCTTTCTTGCTTTGTTAATCTGCTTTTCTAGGGGTTTTTTTAAGCCCTTGTGCGTACTTGAAAAATGGAAGGGCTTTGATGCTCCCCTGCTTCTCACCATTGTGGCCACCCAAACCCATGTTAAATAAGCACCCATGTGGATGGTTTTCGCTTGTGTGAGTTTGCACTCATGTGAAGAATGCCACAAAGTAAAAGGCAGCAATATTCTTTCATCGTACACACACAGTCATGTGTTTGCATATCTGGTGGTTAAGTCTTGATGCCTGAGGATCAACCAGCATGGTTCTGCAGCAGCTCTCTTGCCCTGATAGACACAGGAACTTTCAGGGCCGTTGGATTGCTGTGGTGGATTGATAGGAAGCAAAGAAATAGTCCTACTGAGAGTAATCCTGCAGATGGAACAAACTGTCTGCACAAAATGGAATCTAAGTTTTTAGACATTAGGTTCAGATTTGCTAAATCAGCAGTGAAGTGTTGACACCAGAGCCTCATTCGGCATTGACAGAGATTTGGGCTGGAACCAATGATATGGATGCAGCCACCAGATGGACTGCATTACTTTACAAATGATTTTGCCATATCAAAAGTTTCCTACTAGAGAGCTAAACCAGTGAAAGAGTTTGTATAGAACAGTTATGCCTTTTGATATGGGCCAAGTGACCCAACAGCTATTTTCCATCTCTAGCTTCTCTATGCTTTTGGTTTAGGGAACTGTAGTAACCGCCAGCATCTGCCTCTATCTGCTTGGGAGTTGGTTTTATTTTGGGTTTGCCTATCAACTACTATGCTCTGTGCCTGCGACTTTTAACTCCAAATACCAATCTACGTACTAAATCATTGCCAAGTAACCTTCCATTCTTCTTTTCCACGCTGCCCATCTGATCACCAGCTGCGAGCGCACAGCTCCTGCCTGCATGCCGTCAGATTGAGTCTGAGCTGCTCAAACCTCAACTCCAGCCTGAACATAAATTTTTGTCTCTGCAGGAATATCAGGGAAAAAACAAAGTCACCAGGGCTACCGGTTCTTGTTATTGTTTGTATTTATATTTTTGGTTCAACGTCTTTTCTCCCTGGAGGTTTTGATTCCACCGATTTTGTTTGGGTTTGATTGGGCTTGCTTTTTTTTATTGCTCTCCCTCTTCTCATTTTGTTTTCTCCATTCTTTCATTGGAGGCAATGAGCCATCCAGCGGTCGGAACTCCCCTGTCCCCTATCGGCCCGACAGCCGCCCTCTCACTCCAACTTACGCTCAGGCCCCTAAACATTTCCATGTTCCAGGTAGGAGCTGGCACTGTGTGTGTCTCGGTGTCCTGTCACAGTGTAGAATGTAGCCTTTGTAACTTTTGTCTTGTCTCCATCATTTCATGCTGTTTACCGTGGGCTGCACCCTAAGGGTTTGGAACTGCTCCTGGGCTTGCTGAGAGCAGTAGTGTGTTAAGAAATTGGGGGGTTCATTGTCATTTTTACCTATCCTGTTGATCAGGTGTTTCACTGTTAGAAGGCCTTGGTTTTCAGAGTCTGTTGATGGTCTGTGAGCAGGATATGAGCAATGTAGGGCTTGATTTTTCTCCCAGTTGCACCAGCATAATTCTGCTGACTTTGGTGGAGAGTTGACCATTGAGCCATTGCATATGTTGTTCATTCAGGTTGTTGTGACTTGTTTCAGTCTTGAACCCAAAAGTTCTAGTTTAGTGTTTCCTTCATTTTTTCAAAGCAGATGAGGATGTTTCTTTACTTGTTTTGTGCAATGACTTGGTGTCCTCAGAGAGATCTGCAGATCCACAAGGATGTGTGTGCCTTAGGATGTCCCCTCTATAAATGGCAGTCTCTGTTTTGAAGTGGACTGCACAGTTCTTCAGCCTCTCAGATAATCTGTCTTGGATTTTGATGGGATTAGAGTCTATGTCCCTAGGGTTGTGGAGATGCATTTTCTGACTGCATCAGTACTAGCTGAAAGCCTTATTATATCCAGATATTCTTCAGGTCCCCTTCAGTCTAGCATCCCTTCGCACTGCCAGAGGTTACTGCTCTCCCTCCTCTCCTCAGATCTGGCAGATAAACTGTGGGAACTTCCCTTTCAGTCAGGGTGACCTGGCTTGGCTAAGGTAGGCTGCTTTACCTGCTTCAGCTCACCTGGCTCACTTGGGCTTGCGTAAGCCAAAGTGCACTTGCATGAATAGCTCTGAGTAATAATCTCTAGCATGGTGGGAGAGTTGTCCTCTTCAACTCACTCCATGAAACCACAGAAAGAGCTGTGTTCCTGTCCTCCTTATAGCTTTCTGGTATAGATGTGCGCAAAAGTACTGCATGACTGCCCTTGTAATATTTGTACCTATTTGCTGGTTAAGTAGCCATAACAGATCACTAACAAGAATGAATGACTTTGTGTGCAATGAATTTGCCTGTTTAGTCAAGGGTGTAGAGTGCTGCAGAGTAAGATTTGCCTCTGTTTCAATGCAGTTTTAGGGTCAGCTTTCCTTAACGCCAAATGCTACGTTATCTGCTCTAGCACTTTAATTGGATCTGTGATACACAGCATGCATTTCTAAAATGCTTTTTCATCTTTCATTCTAATATAACTGAAAACTTTTTTCTGGCAGTGTGAAGTAGAAAAATGGATTTCTGACATTCATTTTCTAGTTCCCAGTAGCTTATTTTGGTCTTCTAATAAGATTTTGTCAGATTTTGCATTGTAGCACTGATTTTGGATTAACTTTTCTATTTGTGGCTGTGCCAAAACATGAAGTGTTGGTTTGGGTGGGGAAGTAGTTTAGAACAAATGGGTTCCTGTCTTAGATCATTATTTGTAAAAATATGATATCTTTTATACATGCTATAGATTCACTGCATTAGAGTTCCAGGCAGTGATTTTATTCTGATTTATATTGATAATGTGGTGGGCCTTATGTTAAAAAGATTACAGAAAAAAATTAAAATAAGACCTATCCTTGTGGTTCGAGAATTAGTAGTGTATCATTTAACGTTACATAAAGCATCCCTTTGACTCACTGAAGTGTAGCTCTTGTTGACTGTTCAAAACTGTGTATTAGGCAGCTATTTTGTTCTCTGGATTTTGAAGTGAATTGTAGGGTCACTGCATTCTCCTCTGCTCGATCCAGCCAGTCAGTTGGAAAGAAAATTGAGCTGTTAAGACTGAAGCACAATTTTCCACAGAAGTTGTTTGGGGTAGTTTTGCCCAAATGGCTTACATCTTAACCATTGAAATGTCGTGCTTGTTTGCATTTCCTCTGTAACTTTTACCCCACTGATAATCTTCTGAATGTTTAAAATGTTCATCACTTAGATGCATCCACATGTTACAGAAACAGCTTCAAAGGACTTCATACCACATGTCTTCGACTTTTCACTTGTTCTTGTTTTATTTTCTTTAAATAATCTGTTTTTGTATATATTAGAAACCTCTTTCTGGCTTTTTCTTGTGTTACACCCTTGATTTGGTCTGTCTATTGTTTTAGAGTTATCGTTATCTGCAACTGAAGTAGTTTTCATATTCCCATTTTTCTGTTTCTCAATTTCACAGATCAAGGTGTCAACATTTACAGAAAACCACCAATCTACAAACAACACGGTAAATCATCTTTCCCTTCTTTTTTCAAAACTGGAGTATCAACTAAGGTAAAAAGCATGCAGACTGGTGAAAAAGCATTCAGTGTTTACATTGTAAGCACTGAAAATTAGTAGCACAAGCTTGAAACAGCTGTTATTGCACGTCCTGCTGAGTGATTATGCATTAAAGCATGTTGTTTCATTTGGATCATATGGTTTAAATCTTGGCTACGTTGATATTAATGGCAAAATTTCCATTAACTAGGATTTTGCTGTCTCTTTAGCATTATGATGCCTTCCTGGATTTCACTTCTTTAAGTTTACATTTTCAGAATGAAGGTACCAATCATGTTAAAATGGACTAACAACAGATTGTTCTCTGACAGAGACTTCATGCAATATCCTCATTTTAGACAGCCTAAGTACAATAATTTATTGCAACAGCAAAGATGGAGATATTATCAGACTGGAATTCCAAATGTACCTGTGGGTTTAAATAAGAATCTATAATTATTGAAGATAATATAGGAGACTTATCACTGACAAGGCTCATGTGGTTCTCAAGCCCTGTGCTGTAGCTCAGGTAGTTCGCTGCACTTGTTTTTCTAGGTGTTTGGGTTCTGCGTTGGACAGCAGTGTTAGTGCTCTAATTTTTTTGGTGTAGATGTTGTTATAGAGAGTCTGGAATAACAGAGATGGCAGAAGCCTCATGCCTTGCCAGTCTTTAGTGCTGCAGAGCATGGTCCCAGCTATAACGGAGTGTAGCTCACTCTTCCCTTCTGCTGTCAACAAGCACTTTGAATAGGAGATTATTTTTATATAATGTGGTGAAAGTCCAATAACTCCACTTTTTAAAGACTTTGAGTTTGCATCTGTTCCACTGAAGTGTATTTAGTGTTAAATACTGAATTAGCAATGCTCCACAGGGTTTAGATGAACAGTTGGCTGAGAGCCACAGAGCTGAGATGATTAGGAAAGTGCAGGAAGTCCATTCTGTAGTCAGGAGTGAGCACTGCAAATAATACTGCTGTGGTTTTATAGCAGGGTTTTATCCTTTTTTTTTTAAAAAACCCTTTTTTTTTTCTTTAATTTCAAACCATATGCTCATTTTGGAAAAAATCTTAACATTATTTTTGTTTATTTTTATGGTTTTAATGTATCTCCTCACCTCCCATTAACATGTGAATGTTTAACCACTGACCTCACCAATTCTAAATCGTAAGTACTGTTTGAAGTCATGCTTTTGTAAAATCTGACCAGCTTTCTCCATACCTGCAATTATGCTTAGAGTTTCCCAACTGTTAAATGCTCAGAATTCCTAATAATATCTAATACTGATGTTTCTAAACTACCCTGAACATGTTGGATGAGAAACACAGTGCTTCGCTTCGTCCACTGATGTCTTTCTGTTAAAATAAAATTTGGGGGGAAAAAAAAAAAAGAGAGAGAGGAAAAAAAAAAAAAAGAAGAAAAAGTCCAGAATCCTTGCATCTGATATGGTAGCTTCATAGAAGAGAAGGCAATTTGAGCCTACAGTTTGTAGACAAGAGGTAGTTAAGGCTGGTTTTAATGTAAACTGAATCCTATTGGGTTTGGATGTGGTTTTTTAATGTCAAGAAGTGGAAGCCATAATGCACTGCCTCCCATGCTTTTAAGAGACTTTGGCTTAGACTGGAATCTTAAGTGGATGCCCCACTGCTGCGATATTTTGTTGGTGAGGCTCATCTCATTGCAGATGCCTTTCCCTGCCAAGTTGATCTGAATGGAGTTTAGTATTTATTAATAAATACACATCTGCTTTTACTACTGCTGCATGTTAATAAGCAAGGGCATGCAGCAGAAAATATCCACTGGTTAAATAAAAATACTTGTTTCAGATTTCTTTTTGTTTATTTTGCAGCTTTTCACTGCAACATAGGAAATAATTAGCATCAGTAGAATTAAAATTGTTCCTGTTCCTCTGAACTATTTGGTTTTTTGCCCTAGAGGAAAGAGAGATCAGTACATAAATCTGGTTTTATCTTCATTAATAATCAGCTGTCCTTAAGAGATATTGGCAAATACTGTTAGACTGAATTTCCTCACTCTTGCCTAATCATTCTAACACTGTGCAACCCTAGTTAAATCCAAAGCTGATTTGGGGTTAATTGGGGGTTGAGGATGAGGGATGAAAGGAAGGTTTGATTCCAATCTGTTGGTAAGAGAAAGACATTACTTTGCTTCAAGTTGCAATTAGAAAAGCAAAACATTAAAAAGTTTGCTTTTGAAAATTAACTTCTTATAAAGTATAACATTTTGCCAAAATAAGGAAGATGTTTGTATTGGTACAGATTATTACATAGCTAAGTTCCCTGATTGCCATCTAGATGCAGCTGCTTTGGCAGCACAGAGCAAGTCCTCCGAGGATATCATCAAGTCCTCCAAGTTCCCAGCAGCTCATGCACCAGCACCCAATGAGATACCAAAGATTGAGACGGACCACTGGCCAGGTCCTCCCTCCCTTGCGGCCATAGGTATGCAAAAAATTTAAAAATACGAGCGATAAGGCTTAAAAGGTACTGGTAACTAAAGTAGATTAATACTGGACCTGTAAAAAAGAGTAGTGAAGATTGCATCCACTCTAGGTGTTCACCACAATGTGCAGTTCTTCTTGTGAGGCCTCCAAGCATCTGTGGACTTAAAACTATTGAATAGTGCTGAATTGAAGAGGTTTTGATAAAGGACTTTGGAACTGATCACACAGATACTAACCCATAGACAAATTATGTGAACTCCCATGCAGTAGCTTAAAAACTGTGGTGTGTCACACAAGCCTGACTTCTTTCAGTTATTGTCTATCTCATGTTTTAGTCTTAAGCTAATAACAAATATTCCACAGAAAATACAGTTGCTTCCAACCACGACTAATTTCATGGCAAGAAGCAATGACTGAAGTGGAACAATTAATGGACTAAAAAAGTCCCAATTTTCACAGTTACTGTTTCTACAGACTTTTTTATGTGTTGTAGCACTACAGATATCTTGTTTTCTTTAAATCATGTGCCTCATCTTTTTTTGTTTGTTTTGTATTTTTTTCCTCTGTTAATTTTTATTGACCTCTATAGCATAAAATAAGCGATCTAGACTGGTTCATTTATGAAGTTGTGTCTGAAGCACTGAAGGTGTTGCCTGTTCCAGGTTTCTGAGGAGTGTATGGTTTTCATCACAATGGGATTTTCATAGGATTAGCTTGCTTCATTTTAGGTTAAAATAATGCCTTGTTTATTCCAGATATGGTTGTCCATTTATGAGATTCATGTAGTTTAATTTTGCATTTGAAATGTTAATTCAGACTTGCTTTTCTGAGTCCAAATAGAAGTATAAATGTAAATCAGGCTTTATTTTCAGCCACTGGTTCCATTAAACCCCATGTTTTCAGAACTAGCAATCTGAGCTCCTTTTTTCTATTACACTGATTCGTGCCTTCTGTAGCCTGGACTGTTGCTTGGTTTACAACTCGCGTGCAGTTTAATTTCATGCTAATTTTATAAGAAGTCTGATAGCCATAGGGCAGGCTATCTGAGTGAGTTTTATTAAGAGTGAGTTTTGAAAAACTCTTTTGAGTCTGCAAGAAAACACTGCTTTGTTTATTCAGTAATAATGACCAAAACTGACCAGTACTTTGAACTGCATTGAAATCTTCAAGCTGCGGTTGAACTGATACACAAAGCTCTCTCTGTGCTGTGGTTTTGTGGAAGCAGGAGCTGACATGAGACGCAGATCAAGTGGTAGAGAGGAAGATGATGAGGAGCTACAGAGACGCCGGCAGCTGCAGGAGGAGCAGCTTATGAAGGTGATTATAAGCTTGTCTCCATGCTGTTTCTGAACACCATCCAAAAAGCACCCCTTTGTTTTCTGTAAGCAATTTCTACTAATGCTGTGATCAGCTTTATTTTATTGATTTTTTTTTTTGTTAATTGCCATTTGTAGCTCAACTCTGGTCTGGGACAACTGATACTGAAAGAAGAGATGGAAAAGGAGAGTCGTGATAGGTCAGCCCTTTCTGCCAGTCGTTATGATTCCCCAGGTAATTCATGTAGGCAATAAAGCTAATAATGAACAGTGAATAATGAATACCACACATACACATATTAAGTGGTCTCCCAGAAGAGAGACCACTGAGAAGACCTCTTGTTATGTGTATATGTGGTTATCTCCCCTGAAAGAGTGGCCTAATTCAGTAGCTGGTTTTGGTGAGGGGAGGAGTGTTCTGGTTGGTTTTTTTAATCAGAATAAATGTGAGGTTGAGAATTTTCAGGCCATTTTGGGGAGAGAGAAACATCTGTCAATTACAGTGTTACAGGACCAAAACTTCTAGTCTTTTCTCCTTTGTAGCAAAAAATGGCATGCGAATACAGAGAGAATGGAGTGTGCTAGTCATATGTATCTGGGCTTGTGCAGCAGCAGAAGCTGGGAGTATGAGTGCAATAATAGTTGCAGTAGGAAGCATAGAAAGGAAATTCGTGGAAGGTTCAGAGAGTCTGATGATGCATAAACCATGTGTGCCACTTAGGAGAGTGGAATTGAAGGGACCTGCATGGAAGACTTAACTGGAAACCTCTCCAGTCAATCACTGCTGATCTTGGATTCTCCTTGTCATTTATCTTGGTCCCATCATAAGATGGACAGCAATACTTTATCTAGCTAAAGACTAAAAAAATATTTTGCTCTGTTGTCTGATCCTTGAGCATTACCTTCAGCTCAATGGAGACCACTTTGACTTTGAGCCTAGCAAAATCACAGTGTCCTTTCTTGATGACCTGCCACCATGGCATGATGAAGGTGTGTGTAACTTACAGAATGTATGGAAGGTTGTGATGAGTCCTAGGGCTGAACTCTTAGTTTCTTAAAGACAGTGTGTCTCAGCTGGTTATGTATGTGCTTAGCTCTTTTAACTGTGGTTTTTTATGCTAGTTGGTTCCTCAAATATTCTTGTTTTTGAGTTTCCATGGGATTTTTCCAGTAAAATGTTTTTTCCTTCCTCATTCAACAGCACATGCTTCAGCCTCCAAAACCTCTTCTCTCCCTGGCTATGGAAAAAATGGACTACATAGGGTAAGGTGATAGCAATTTAGAGAAGTGAAAGGTGGTTGTAATTATCCATGGTATTTATTTCTGTATTAACTGTATTGGATTTTCAGTTTGGTCAAGCCGTCTTACAAGACGAACTGAAGTCAGAGAAAACCTAATTGCCCTTCACACAAACTACATTGTTAAAAAGGCAGGAAAGTAATGCAAGAAAGCCTGTGAAAATTGAGGGAAGGAAAAAGGCTTAAAGCAATTTGTTACTCCTCATATACCAACCTGCTTGTGAAGTCATAAACTGTGAATTTATGTGCATGTCCCTCTTTTCCTGTTACAGCCGGTATCTACAGATTTTGGTCAATACAACAGTTACGGGGATGTGAGTGGTGGTGTTAGAGGTAAGGCTGAGGAGCCTTTTCACATGTCACTTCATTACTGAAAATGTTATGGTGTTTGATCATTTCTGCTGTTTTATTTTAAGGTTTTGCTTTGCATTTGCTCATTACATTTTAACTTCCTCTGGTAAACTCAACAATTAACTCAAACTCTGCAATTACCTATTAAAAAGTTTAGGTTTATTCTGCTAAATCTGCTATTTAATCTGTGGAGCTGATCCTTGTTTATGCCAAGGGACTGCTTTAGCATTGGTGCAAATGGAAAGCAGGTAACATGTATTCCCAGGAATATGTACTGAGTTCTGCTACAGTGTGTTCTTTCTCCGAAAATTACCATCCACTGCACAATCTGAAAGAATGTGCCACAGTGAAGAAAGGAGGATAATACCTTCTAATCCCTGATGCTGCTCTTCTTTTTCATTATGACTTTGAGTTAAATGTGGTATTGGTCATTGCCTAATAAAGATTGACAATATTTATGAAAGTTATGAAACTTTGAGAGTTAATGGTCTGAGCAGAGAGAGAGAGGTGAGTTATCTCCAAAGTGAGATGGATCCCGGCTGTCTTATATACCCTACAATTAGGCATCTTCTGTTGGTGCTGGTGTCTTATAGACTATGGAGGAATCTAGGCAGCTATCTGATGTCAAAGTTTAGGTGAGGTGAATCCTGCTCTGCACATTTCAGTCTTAGTTGGCTATGTATTAACTTGGTTGTGGTTTTGTGTCTCTTAACATTAGTATTTTGAAATGAAAAGGGCTGCAATGTTTGGAGTGTTTGACTCTTTACAAACTAAGTCCAAAAGTAGAAAGGTTGCGGGCCTTAGGGATTCGGGTGGGATTTTGAAAAGATCAGTTAGACCAGAAGAGACAAGGGTTATCTGATAGATTGTGACTGATTGCTTTTCTTCCACACTCTAAAGCTGATGAGATTTCTCTTTTACTTTTCAGATTTCCAGGTAGAGTACGGGTTTTCATCAATCAACTGACAACAGAGCTAGAAGCATCTACTTTCTTCTTGAAGTTTGCATTTCTGCTACAGGGAAGGGTTTCTTAAGATAGTAGCTTTGATTTTCCTGCATGTTTAAGAATAATCACCAATGTAGATTCTTATCAACAAAAAACAGGCACAGACTCAGATTTCTCCTTGTTACCTCACCAGAGCTGGGTTGAGACAGCTCACACCAGTTCTGTGACTCGCTCTGTAAAATTCACTGTCTGTTGCTATATCTGTAATAGTCCTCTCTCAACATCTGAGGGTGGATTTATTTCCAGCCTCTACCCTGATCCAGGGACATACAAAAAGTCTCTTCTGGAGGCAATTTTCTCCCATGCTAGGAGCCTTGAGCTTCACATTTTTACCCTGGAATTTCCTCTCCAGACAAGATGGCTCATCAATAGTTTTCTACAGTGCTGCCACCACAGATGAGCCAGTAAGAAGTGTGCTTGCAGATGTAAACCTTTTTACTCCAAATCCTGTCTGCAGGGTTTATTTCCAAAATGGTTTGAGTCTGGCTGGCTCCTCAGCACAATCAATATGAAATGGCAATTTAAGAAAGAGTTTAATTACTTGGATAATTTTGTTAATGGTGTATCAAAATCATGATTATAAAGAGAGTAAGATAATGGAGAGAGGAGTTGTCCATGTATTGTGCTCAAAATGTTATTTTGTTAGGAACAGTGCCTGTGTCAAAGCAGCACCTTTTTACCCTATTCCTGCTTGCTTTCATAGTAAAAATTTCCCATTTTAGAGCCAAAAAAAGATAAAATCCCTCAGCTGGTCAGTCACAGTAATTTACAGAAAGGACAGCCCAGAGGTATAAGAGTGCTTTGTCTGCTGTTGGGTGGGATCTGAATTAATGCCTCCGTATATTTATCCAGAGAAGAACCCTACTAAGTCAGTGGGGTTGGAAAGGGCCCACCACCCTCTCTTCTGGTCCCCAGGTCCACCTGGGAAGAGATGTTGGCAGGCTCAGTGGGGAGCTATCACCAGCCTTAGCAGTGACAGGAGGAGGTGGTGGCAGAGAGGATGGAAGGATCCCTCTGCATGCCTCAGAGAGGTGGTACACCGTAGCCATGGCAATGATCTATAAGACTAAATATTAAGACTTGAAGAAAGTCTCAGGGCAAATTCACCTTTGTTTTCACCGCTACTTGAGTGCCTTTACCCTCTGTGTGTGTAACCTATGTGTCTGATGTATACCTGTATCTGATGCAGTCCCTTCCGGATGGTCATGTCCCTGGAATGAGAATGGACAGAGGAGTATCTATGCCTAACATGTTGGAGCCAAAGGCAAGTGCAGATATTATTCACTTTCCTTCAAGACAGTGAAGATTTGACTGTGACATGCAGCTAAAATATGGGAAATGTCTTGGTTCCCTTGTTTTGCTTTACCTTACCTCAGTCCCTGCTCCTTGTGTGCCAAACCTCTCCCTTTGTTCTGGACTTTGCCTGTTGCAGGTACTGGCAGTACTCAGGCAGGCTGAGGGCAGTCCAGGTGTGCTGCTTTGGGTCAAGGAGGCTTTTCCAGAGACAAAACCAAAATACTGAAGATGCTCAATAGCTAGTTCTGTCAAGCTTCCACTAGCCAGAACAGCAGGCCAAACTTGATGGGAAAGTCTCAGATCTGTCAGGCTGGAAAAGTGATGCAGAATATTGTGACTCAGAACACACTGTTGAGGCTGTCTTAACTTAAAAACTAATGAAATACACGGTTCTCTGTTTCAAGTTGCAAGTCAGATACCTACATGTCTGTCTGGATCTGTTCTTTAGCTCTCAGCACTGTTAGCCTGACACCTTTCAATGATGTTGAATTCCCTATATAAGGAATTCTTCAGGAGATTTATTGGGAAAAGAGTCAATGTCAGCTGAATACAATTTCAGATATCAATTAAAATGCTTTTGCAGCTTATACTTCACTTTACTTAAGAGATGTCTGAGTCAAAAATGAACATAATATATAGAGGGGATTCAGCCAAGGCTGTGTTTTCACTCTTACAACTTTCTCAATTGCTGGTGAACCTTCTGAGAAACCATGATTTTGCCAAAGTTACAAGGATCAGCATTTCTGTGGTAAAACGAGGAGCTCGTTTTGTGAACCAGAATACTACTTGTGCTTCCAAGTCACCTCCAGACAAACTGTAGAATGCAATAACCCTAGCTTTATAAGCTGAAACCCCAGTGCAATGTATATTAACAAGTGTTTTTGTATGTTATATAAATAAGACCTTGGGAGCATCCACAACTTCTGAGATACTACTTTTTATTCGAAACTATTTCTTTTTTAGTGCAATAGAAATTATTACAGCTATAACTGCTGTTGATGCACCCAGTGATTTGGAATGCTATTTTGGGTGACAAATTCTGTCAGTATTATTAGTAATAAAATTTATGGGAATTTTCATGAGGTATTAGGTCACGTTGTGCTGATCTTTATAAAGATGAAGCCAGACCCTCAGCTTGTGTGAATTGGCAGTAGTTTTTTTCTTATCAATGGTCCAACACTAACTTAAACCTGATAAAGTAAAAGAAGCAGACTCAAAGTCAGCATGAAACATGTGAAAAGTCAAAATTAGTAAACTTGAGAATGATGAAATCTTACCAAATGGTTCTCCAGAAAGGACAGAATTTGTGCATCCCGCCACCCCAGATTGAGACATGCCTTGTTGTGAATATCTAAATATAAAATGTACTTATGACCGTAGATCTTGACTTAAACTCTGCCTGTTTAAATATGAAAAGTTACATTTTAGTTTCCTATAATGCTGTATATGGTAGCTGTTTCCAGTATCAAACATAAACAATGTAATTCAAAGTATCGACTTACTTGTACAATTGTGATAATGTCAGAATCTCCTAAGAATCATATCTTACAATTGGTATGTAAGCACACGTTATTTAAATTATTATTACTTACAATAAACTCAGTGGTGTGTTCATTGATGCCTGAATCTTATTTATTATATTTCTGAAAAGTTAATTGGGATAATTGTTGACAATGGAATGAACTTAATTGCCTAGCACTGCACAGAAGTTGATTAGGTTGAATTTCTTCTGGTGTTAAAATAATTGAATTAATAGCATTTGATAATAGTTCAGCTGTCTCTCCAGGAGAGTTTTGGTAGTCTCTGTCTTGTTCCTGTGGGCACGTAAAACAAGATCCATAGATAACAGTAAAGGCTGAGCCAGTCACCACTGAAGTCTGCATAAGAATTTAATTGGCATCAGTAGGGGTTGGATGAGGACCTCACTGGAATGCTGTTTTCCTGCTTGGCAGAGACATGCAATGAGAAGGGCTATAGGGAGGCTCTGTCAGACGGAACATGAGCTCTCCTAGGTCATTCCAGGCATTCGTGGAAGTATCTGCCCAAGGAAAAAAATCCTAAAACAGAGTTTTATTTGCCAGGAATGATTCCAGAAACTGATTTTACGGCTTGGTTTTCTGAAATCCTTTCTAAGCAGCATTGTTTCTGTTGAATTAGAGTATTGATTTGAGACCCACTGAAAGTAAACTTTTTACTTCAAATGAAGAACCTGTTAAAAAAAAAAAGTAAATTAAGTTATGCATTCAGGAACTGACTGTTGGTCAATGACTGATTTGTGTAAGTTCTGGACACTCTTTACAAGGTAAAGGGAAAGCAAGGGAAATGTTAATGGGAGGTGTGCTGGACACATGCTCTTCTGAAGTAGATGAAGATGTGTAAGACAGATGTGTCTACAGAATTATGTCCTTTAATCCGTGCATGTTTTGCATAGCCAGTAAGCACAGTGGGCAGCTGTTTGAATTCTTTAAGTATCCAAAAAGGAAAAGAAAACCATGTGATGAATTTTGATGAATGCAGTGCCCCCCCCCCAATCAATATCTTGCTTATTCAGAGTTGCTGCTTTTTCTGATCTACTTTTATGTGGTTCATTTTGAAGTCCACTGAGTGTCTGTTTCCATAGTGCTGTCCACACTTTGGCAACCATCAGTTAGACCGAGTGCCAAACGTATTTACCTTAAAAAACCTCGTATATGACTAGAGAGTATGGTCTGAGCAAAGTCAGGTGTATTATATGCACCATAAAAATCAGCGGGGTGGGCAAGTACACAGTGGCTCTACAATATGAGGCAGTTTGATACTAAACAAGTTCTTGCTATGTCCAGATTGGGCTTGTCTTTCATGCGACTTCAGGGTACAAAAGGGCTGTGATTTCCTTTGAAAAAGAAACCAAATGTTTGTGTGGTTATGAAAATGAGACACATTGTGTTCTTTTTGCTTTAAAATGTAAATACATCTCCTTTTTCCCCCTTTTATACGTTGTTAACAGATTTTTCCATATGAAATGCTCATGGTGACCAACAGAGGGCGAAATAAAATACTAAAAGATGTAGACAGAACCAGGCTTGAGGTAAGAGAAGCAAGTTCCTAAATGCTCTTTCTCGCTGAAGTTGTTTGTTGTTGCACACTTGAAAGCTCAAACCCTGAAGTGTGGGTCCTTGTTAGAGGGGTAAGGTTTCTCAGCACTAAGCAGGAGGAGTCAGACACGGGGAGGAAGCAGCCGCTGCTCCATGAACGGTGCTGGGCCAGGAGTTCCACATCTGTCTCCCTGCTCCTGGACTGAGCATCTCACAACTCTCTTATGTTTTGAAGCAATTAATTATATACTTGTAAATTGGTAAAAAGCTCAAAATTGGTAATGTGTTTTGTAGTCATAGAATCCACACTGGAATGGAGCAATACCTTGTTTAATCTGTGATCATTTCTTAGCTAAGAGGCAGTGTCGGCCATCCTTGGGAATCAGAAGTCTAACTTTCTTTAACTCATCCATGAGTCCTGTGAGTTAGTTGGACTGGCTGATATCCAAAAATATGAGGATTTAAATCTCTGCCAACAAATAAAAATTGTTTACAGTTTTGTGGATTAGAAAGACTTAAGCAGCCTAGTGGAAGGCTGGGGATGTCTATGTCGTTTGTAGTTAGTTAACCTTCTGTGGAGATGAATGGAAGGGGCCACAGAAATTTGGGTAAGTAACTATTTTTCTACATTTTAGACTAGTAGAAATGTGATCACTAATCAGATTTCAGTGCTGCGTTACATTAGTGCCACAGATAGACACTTTCCCCATCCAGTGCACTCCAAAGCAGCCAAACAAGAAGTAACTCGTGTGTGCACGACACAGCACCAAAAAATGTGTCATTGGCAGTAGAGAAATGTGCTGCACTGTTAGTCTGGCCAGACCTCTTCCTTCTGAAGTTCTTCAGAACTTCAAATGTTGCGTGTCAACCTGCAGCCCTTCTGCGGAGCTCTCCTGAACCCCAGTGTCTGTTTGAACTTCCAAATGCCAGCAGAGCTGACTCGCTAAACCTGGGACAGGGACAGGCAGGAGCTGGTTTTCTTCTCTGGTCTGTCGGTGCTTGTTGGGTGACTTCAGACAAACCATTTTTCTGTCTCTTGCTTATTCGGCAACTAAAATAATTCTGATTTCCTTTGTAAACTTCTCAGACTTAACAAATAGCAAAATTTTATTGGTTCATTGAGCACCCAAGTTCATGAGAACTTGCATAAGTGTATTGTGAAAGCATTATTATTTCCTGCAATGGCTCTTACACGTGACATGAAGTCCGTAAGGCACTCCTGTCTCCTGTTGTGTCTCTTTGGCTTTGACTGACCATTGCCTTTTCTCCTTTTTCTTTTCTCCTTTTTTTTTTAAAGCGTCACTTAGCACCTGAAGTTTTTCAAGAAATATTTGGCATGACGATACAGGAGTTTGACAAGTTACCCCTCTGGAGACGCAACGACATGAAGAAAAAAGCAAAACTCTTTTAATCTCCCTTTAAACAAACAAACAAAAAATGATGCATAGGATGTTGTATCATGCAGCCCAAACTATTTGGAAGCAACTACTTATCCACCAAAAAGGGAAAATCGCATAATGGCACCTCTGTACACAGCAATTGAACAAGATGAACATTTGCCCTCCTGGAACACAGGGAGAAAATACCTGGGCTCAGAAACAGCAATGATAGTTTTCAGAGGTGTCGCCCTGTTACATGATATTGTACAAGATAGGAAACTGTTCTGTTCTTCTCCTTCAATGATATTCCCTTTACTTCTCTCCACAATATGATGGACTTTATTGCTAGAGCCAGAAAGTGCCCTTAGGATGCCTTGTAGACTAAAGTAGTTGTAACCACTCCAAGAACTGGAAAAGAATATATATATATATATATATAT